ATATGTAGCCTGATTCTAGTCACGTCACACAAACCCAAAATGAGGGACAATCTACAAAATAAGTGGCTTACTCTTCAAAAATGTCAAAGTCATGACAGATGAAAGACTGAAGAATTGTTTCAGATTAAGGGAGACTACAGAGAGTTGACAATTAAATATTACAACATGTGATCATGGACTGGACCCCAGGAAGGACAGCATTTGGGGTATTTTTGTTTTGCTAAAGGACGTTAACAGTAATTGGTAAAATGTAAAAGGTAAACGAGCTCATACTATGCATCAATGTTAATTTCCTGATTTTGATCATTGTACTGTGGTTATGTAAGAGGATGAACTTCAACAACAGTGAGGTACAACTTACAGGGAAAAAGAATATCTGGTTTGTAATTTACTCTTAAATGTTTAAGAAAACAATATACACACATAAAGAGAGAGACAGAAAATATAAAGCAAATATGGCAAAACTGACCATTGGGGAATCTGGGTGAAGGGTATATAGGAATAGTTTTACAATTTTTCCTGGGAATCTGAATTTATCTCAAAAAAACATTTTTAAGCAATTTATTAAAGATTTCTATGAATTCCTATCGCCACACAATGTTGGATGTGACAAAGGTCCTACTGTGCATCCATTAAAAAATGGAGGTGGACTGCACTGAAAAATAATCAATTACTGATAACAAGCAACGTGAGGAACAAATCTCATTGGCATAATGTTGAGTTGAAGACAGAAACAAAAGCATATATAATGAATGATTCCATTTATATTAAGCTCAGGAGTATTTGTACATGTAATGCTGATAAAACAAGAGACACATTAAAACTCATTGAGTTAAACACTAAAGATATGGGCCCTTTGAGTTATAACTTCACACAAGTATGAGGGAGGTTAGTTTACTCTCGCTCTACTAAAAGAAGTGACAGTCCAAAACAGTGAAAAGCAAAAAGAAACTAGAAGAAAAAATTAATTTAAATATTGGTTAATCGCAACCAAAACTATAATTATATAATAAAGAAAATTATTCAAATTAAAAGTATTAAGATATTCAAACAAAAATTTAGTTGTCTTTTTAAAAGGTGTTACACGTACCTTAAATTTCTCCAGGTTTCTAATTTCACCTGAGAGATGTTTAATTTCACCATTCTTCTGCTCCAACATGGCAAACAACCGTTCCTGCTGCTCAGATTCAGTTTGAGACCCTTTCATTTGCAGCAATGTGGCGATTTGTAACTGGAAGAAGAAAAATTACCCACCCCCATAAAAGTGAGTGGGGAAGAGGAAGATTCTAATAACCATATTTTTGGTATAATTTATATTTTGTACTATATTACCTTGAACTCATTTTAGAAATTAAACTAGCTATTTCTAGCCTAATCTAATAATTTGAGAACATTTATATCAATTAGTTTAGTTACTTATTTGGACTACTTATGAGTGGTATCTGAAGTCCATAACAATTCTTTGTACTTCTCTGAAACATAACTGAACTGCATGGCTGTGGCCTGGCAGCTCGTCACTTAACTGGTAAACAGTCTGGCCAAATGCTGTGCTCTACTCATCATATGCACTCATTAAGGGTCGGATGGGGTTCCTCAAAAATTTTAATTAACTTCCAATAGTATTAAGTGGGGGAAATTATTAAGCCACTCACATTCACAAATGTGAGATTCACAAAGCACAAGAATGGGAAGCAAAGGGTAAAAGGCAGTCTAAGGATAGTAAAAAAATATTCAATATAAATATACGCTTATTTTTTAAGAGCAGCAATTAGCTTACCTAATTATGACTCCATTAAACTTAGACTTTCATAGCAATTGAAAGGAAAGTAACTAAAATCTAAACCTAGAATTTCTTTCTGCCTTCAAAAATTTATGGAGTTCTAAAAAAGTGTCAATTAGCTTAAACGTAATTTTGAGTAGGGCAAACAATGATATGTGGGTGCAGGTATGGCTATAAGATAGAGAGTATGGTGACTTCTAACATTTTTAAGAATCCATCTTTTGTTTCTGCTTCAGACTGGAGGCTAGACACGTTTAGCCTAAGGAGATCCAGAACATTACTTTTGTCTAAAGACAGTTGGGGATATCATGGGAACATTAGGAGATTAACAGCAGTAGCCCAACAAATACTGAATGGAAACAAAGAGCAAACGTGAGAAAATTTATAAAGAAATCATTCCTAGATAGGGGAGAGCCTCAGTAAACCAGGCAGCACAATCAAGCTCCTAAGAAATAAAAGCCACAGCTATTGTTTATTAAGTCAGCACTTCCTTACTTGCCAAGCACCATGTAAGCATCTTCCTATGCTTTTATTTAACTCCAAGACAATTCTAAGAGGCAGGTTCTGGCATCTCTACTTTACAGATGAGGTGACTGATGCTGTGAAAAGTAAAACGACTTGTCCAAGTTCACACAGCTAGTAAGTGACAGAATGATGATTCAATCCCAAATTCATCTAACACCAAGGTTTAATTATTCACCTTTCCTATTTCTTTGCTAAATCTCATCATCCTAAATAAAAGGCAAGAAGCCTTCCATACTTGAAGTTACCACCTTAAGAGGGTAGGTACTACAGATCAGGAATCAGTATTCTAAGGGCTGGCATAATACTGAAATCTTCCCTACTCCCACGTGTTTTTCTGTTACCTCCTGTTTGACTAAAATGATGACCACCGAACCATTAAAATTAAAACGGCCTAAATGCTTGACTTGGGGAACTGCAAGGAAAGGAAATCCAAATTTCACCCTATACATAAGCCTTAGAGGGAGAACTGAAGAATGGTTAGAGTTAGTTTTAGTTAAAGTAGAAACCTTAGGGAAATGCTCAAAACACACCAGGTCAACAGCAGGAAATAAAAGCATTTATTTCTTTTTCCCCAGTCCACAAAAGATTTATACCTCTCTGGCAAGGTTAACGAGTAACTACTTAAAAAAAAAAAAAATCAATCAATCAATGGATACTAAATATATTAATACTATTAATTCTTCACTAACAGGATTTTAAAAAATATAAATAGATCTTTTGCTCAACTTAAAAATACTGATTTTCTAAAATCATACAGTTCTAGAAATAACTTTATAAGTACACTCTTTGAAAAGATGCTTTCTTTGATATATTTGTACATGCTTATATGAAACAGATTAAACTTTTGATGGTAACAATTCTATACCTTCATTCTTTGCATTTGTTCTCTATTAAATGCATTTTGCTTCTTTAGTGACTGATACTTGACTTTCATACTGATAAACTGACGTTCCATTGCTGCCCTTCGATCTTCCACCTAAAAAATATTAACATGTTTGATTATGCTTGCATTAAGTGAAATGCCAATTGAATCAATGGACTATTTGTAAGTACCTCTGCAAACAAAGAGTTGCCTTTACTGTTGGGGTCCAGGGCTTGCTGGAGTGCCTGGTCTAATTGCACTTGAAGATCTTGATTTGCTACACGAGCTTTCTAAATTCAAAAGAAAACAATTTAGCTAATAGAAATTAGATTAGCAAGAAAACAACGTATTATAAATTGGAAAAGATGTTACTGCAATCATAATACCTCTAAGGCGTTACAGTAAGAAACTGCTTCTTTTTCTCTCTCCTCTTTTTCTTCTTTAAGCCGCTCAACCTGGCGCATTAAATTAGAATTAAGAAGTTCTAGTTGTTCTTGTCTGTATTGTAGTTCATTCACTTCTTCGTTGAGGGTGGTCTATTCAACAGGAATTGAAAAAGAGGAAAATCTCTTAAATAATTCTTCATTTAGCAGATGCTCAGTTTACCTGCAAGCAGTGATTCACAACTAAAAAACTAGTTAAGGGTTGTTAAGGTGCATAATAAAATAATAAAAATTATTACATTTTTCAGCAGGGAACAAAATAAAAGGCTCTAGAGACTTTCTTTCCTATGAATTTAAGGCTTTAATTTTTAATTAAACTTANCTGGACTCGAACCGCTGTTGCTCAGAGCTCAAACTCTTGAGCGAGCTCTTAACCAACTGAGCCACTCGGCCGGCCCTTACATATTTATTCTTGAAAAATTTAGATTATAAGAACATTTTCTAAGTTAAAGTTCTTTTCACGTAGTTTTTACCAATCTAAAAAGCTAAACACAAAGCGATAAAAACATTTAATTATTCATTAGAAGTATTTTTTCTTCAATAATCAGCACTATGTCTTGAATAAAATTCATTGGCTGCCCAGAGATATTTTTGTTGCCTTTCTTTTATGGGATTTTCTTCTGGTAATATTAAAACAAAAATGTGTAGTCTCTAATACTACTTATTATAAACAAGTCAAAAGATTCTCCATCTTTCAATCCAACCAACACTTACTTTAAGTTGTCAAGCTTTATTTGAAGTAAATCTGTGTAATAGGTGTTATCTTTCACAGCATCAGAGCTGTCTGAAGGCTTCGATTCCATACTTTCATATAAACTCTAAAGAAAACAATTTTTATTACTTAACAAATTAGGTTAGTATATGTTTATTAATAGTATCACCTACCACTTATTGGATGCTTATCACATAGCAGGCACTATGCTAAGCGGATCCACTGTAAGTTTATCTTCTGAACTACATACAAGAATGAGCATTCCTCTCCTGTAAGGTTTAAGATGCCTCAGGCAAGTAAACTGAGAAGAGAGAATCTGAACCCAGGTCTGTCTCCAAAGCCCATGCTCCTAACCACACCTTGTAGCCTCTGGTTTCCCTCTCCTTTTAAAAGGAAAGAAATACGTCCTCAGCGGGTTTACTTCAGGCCTTTATGACAAAGCTTAAAATCAGGAAAATAAGAAAGAGTGGAGATACTTAGTTATTTTTGATGCCCACTCTTCTGAGACTCTGATGGAATCGCTACACGATTTCTCCGAAGTGAAAAAAAGTATAAATCTGCTTAAAAACTTGTAAACAATTTTAAAGATTGCAGGTTAAAACCTCTTGGCAAAAGCCATAATTTTCAAAGTAGAGTGCTAAGCCCACTGGTAAGCCACATGTACCTGCCATGTGATGTACCGCAAATTTAACCAAAACTCTAGTCCTTTCAGCAGTTCTTATAAGAGGAAGAAATAAAGTTACATACACAAATTTTTATAAGACACAAATGGCTACAACTTAGAATGCCTAAGAGGTTAACATGTAAAAAAATTTGTCATTTATAAACGTTAATTAGTTCTTTCGTTAGTGAGAAGATATCTGTGCTCCCTGAGATCATTTATAATTTTAATGTAATCTAATTAAAAATATCAATAAGCTTTTTAAAGAGCTTATTCATAGAGAAAAACAAACATGCAAGAGTAGTCAGGAAAACACTAAGGAAAAAAAGCAACTCCTATAGTATTCCAATCAAAAATATGTAGCCTGATTCTAGTCACGTCACACAAACCCAAAATGAGGGACAATCTACAAAATAAGTGGCTTACTCTTCAAAAATGTCAAAGTCATGACAGATGAAAGACTGAAGAATTGTTTCAGATTAAGGGAGACTACAGAGAGTTGACAATTAAATATTACAACATGTGATCATGGACTGGACCCCAGGAAGGACAGCATTTGGGGTATTTTTGTTTTGCTAAAGGACGTTAACAGTAATTGGTAAAATGTAAAAGGTAAACGAGCTCGTACTATGCATCAATGTTAATTTCCTGATTTTGATCATTGTACTGTGGTTATGTAAGAGGATGAACTTCAACAACAGTGAGGTACAACTTACAGGGAAAAAGAATATCTGGTTTGTAATTTACTCTTAAATGTTTAAGAAAACAATATACACACATAAAGAGAGAGACAGAAAATATAAAGCAAATATGGCAAAACTGACCATTGGGGAATCTGGGTGAAGGGTATATAGGAATAGTTTTACAATTTTTCCTGGGAATCTGAATTTATCTCAAAAAAACATTTTTAAGCAATTTATTAAAGATTTCTATGAATTCCTATTGCCACACAATGTTGGATGTGACAAAGGTCCTACTGTGCATCCATTAAAAAATGGAGGTGGACTGCACTGAAAAATAATCAATTACTGATAACAAGCAACGTGAGGAACAAATCTCATTGGCATAATGTTGAGTTGAAGACAGAAACAAAAACATATATAATGAATGATTCCATTTATATTAAGCTCAGGAGTATTTGTACATGTAATGCTGATAAAACAAGAGACACATTAAAACTCATTGAGTTAAACACTAAAGATATGGGCCCTTTGAGTTATAACTTCACACAAGTATGAGGGAGGTTAGTTTACTCTCGCTCTACTAAAAGAAGTGACAGTCCAAAACAGTGAAAAGCAAAAAGAAACTAGAAGAAAAAATTAATTTAAATATTGGTTAATCGCAACCAAAACTATAATTATATAATAAAGAAAATTATTCAAATTAAAAGTATTAAGATATTCAAACAAAAATTTAGTTGTCTTTTTAAAAGGTGTTACACGTACCTTAAATTTCTCCAGGTTTCTAATTTCACCTGAGAGATGTTTAATTTCACCATTCTTCTGCTCCAACATGGCAAACAACCGTTCCTGCTGCTCAGATTCAGTTTGAGACCCTTTCATTTGCAGCAATGTGGCGATTTGTAACTGGAAGAAGAAAAATTACCCACCCCCATAAAAGTGAGTGGGGAAGAGGAAGATTCTAATAACCATATTTTTGGTATAATTTATATTTTGTACTATATTACCTTGAACTCATTTTAGAAATTAAACTAGCTATTTCTAGCCTAATCTAATAATTTGAGAACATTTATATCAATTAGTTTAGTTACTTATTTGGACTACTTATGAGTGGTATCTGAAGTCCATAACAATTCTTTGTACTTCTCTGAAACATAAATGAACTGCATGGCTGTGGCCTGGCAGCTCGTCACTTAACTGGTAAACAGTCTGGCCAAATGCTGTGCTCTACTCATCATATGCACTCATTAAGGGTCGGATGGGGTTCCTCAAAAATTTTAATTAACTT